CTACGTTATTTCCGTTTTTTTCTTTTTTTTTAAAAAAAAAAAAAAAAAAAAAAAAGGCTTGCGGCTGCAAAAGCAGTGCAAGGACCTTATATATATGTTGTAAGTAGGAATGGAATTTCTGTGGATTTGGAATTTCTTAATAAATTTAGTATTTTGCCATAGAATTATTATATATAACCTATATCCTCTACCTAACCCTAACCTTAACCTATTTTGGTCATTAAACTTGAAATTTAATTAAAAAAATTCTTTATCCACTCACGACTGCAGAGGTAATTCAAGGACCTGTTAAATTTCTAAGTTGCATTTCAAACAACAGATTAGGCGCCGTTACATATATGGGACTCCCAACAGCAAAAGGGGGATGGGACAAAAAAAAAATTTATTGTAGAAGAATTAAATCAATTAGAATATAATTAACATAAAAATAAAAAATTTAAACTTTTTGTCTCATCCCCCTTTTGCTGTGGGGCCCCAAATGTTTATTCCTTCGTCGATTCTCTTTTAGCTATTGCCTGTTTCGGTTATAGCGAACCCCCTCCCATGTTTTTTCATATATAGCTTTTAATAAAGTCTCTGATCGAGCAATAATAATGAATATTTTGGGCTTGTATTAAGGAGGAAATTTTAAGCGAACACTTTACTAAGCCAAGTGTATGGGCCAATTTAATTGGATTATGTATTGGAAGTCGAATGAGTGGGGATGTTGTTAACCGAAGTTTTAATTTCGAAAGGCTTTAGCTGAATTGTTATAAAATATCATTTTATGCCTAACTTACTTGTAATAATATGTTAATTAGTTTAAGTAATCTATGAGTATTACGTCGTATAATTTGAAGAAGAGACATTATTGGCGTTTCTTTTGGACATATATTAATTACTTCGTCAAGTGGTGAAAGCATTAACGTTAATGGCGCTAACATTAAAACAAAGCTTAGTATATTTATAAAATGCATTTTAAAAGAGGCTTTTATAGAATATTAATACTTTTAAATTCGTGACTGATTCCTTGAAAAAACATAACCTTTTGGTGATTTAAATCAGCTAATATTTTAAATCGCTTCTTTTCCTCTTCAATTGAATTTCCATATTGCAAATATGTATTCAATTTATTTTTGACGAGCTAAAAATTATAAATTATTTTTTATAACAAAA